CAACCATATATATATTAAGCATACTACACTACAAGTAGACAAACAAGTTTTCTGATCACTAAATCATATCTACTGTCTTCAATGTGTTTGATGGAGATTAGTTTTGAATTGAGGTTTGAATTGCAGCAAGGGAAATTAAAAAACAGACACAGCCATCAGCCAAAAACAAAAACAGAGAGAGAAGGGGAGAGGCAAAAGCAAAAACAACATAATACTATAATGAACAACCGAGTTCAAAGGGTTTTAAGGGAAGTAGAAATCGAGTGAAATACAACATAATCAACAATAGTGACCGAAAACAAAACACTGAAACAATTCTCAGCCGAAAAAAAAAAATTACTAAAACAATTCTCAATCTTACCTTGCGAGTGCGAGTTCGAAGGGAGCCGAGTTTGAAGGGTTGTAAGGGAAGGAGGAGCAGCGTCGATAGAAATACTAGAAAAAAACACAATAGCAATCGAAAAAAAATACTGAAACAATTCTCAATCTTACCTTGCGAGTGCAAGTGCGAGTATGAGTTTGAAAGGGAATGAGGAGCAGCGTCGATAGTGAAGAGGAAGGGCGAGTGGGAGCAGTAGCGGAGCCAATAATTTAATGTAAGAAGGACACCAATTATAATCTCAAAATTTTTCTTCCCCAATCAATAACAATAACATAATAATAATTTTTCGAGCTAATATTAAACATTAAAATTAATATTCATTACAAAATGTTTTTAATTTTAAACTTTTACAATTGACCCCGACGAGTTTTCATCTTTTGAATTTTTTTCATGATAGTATCATTGTTAGTGCTATCAAAAATCTCTCTCTCAATGTAGACAACCAAGCTATCATTCATCCATTCATCACCCATTCGGTTTTGCAACCGATTCTTCACAATATTTATAGTTGAAAATACCCTCTCAACAGTAGCAGTTGCAACATGCAAGATTAATTCTAAAGTCAAGAGCAAATACACCAATGGATATATTTTGTCTCTTCCAGTCTCCACCATTTTCTTAGCAAGATCGACAATTCCATTCAACCTTGATAATTCACTACTGGATAGCATGTTGATAATATATGTATCACGTTGATCATTAAGTACTATGAGCTCCACTGAAGAAAATTCTTTGGGATAAAATTCGACAAGATGAATTAACTTTTTCTTGTCGAAACTAGAGAAAGAGTTAGATAGATTCAAACATGCCACACAAAGTAACAACTCAGTGATCGACTCAATGAAACGAGCATTTAGTTCTTGAATTTACATATCCAAAATAGTGTAGAATAACTTAGCGCGATAGTGATGTAAGATTGTAATTTCTTAAGCATTGCGCCTTTTTCTCCCTCGAGCTACAAACATATCATCCATTTGGGGAACATCAATTTCATGCTTTTCACAAAAAGACAAAATATCATCAAGTAAATATGTCCACCCACTCTCCCTTGTCTTTTGGAGCCATACTTTAAAAATTTGAACTAAATTCATGGCATTAACAATATCTTGATCTTTCCTTTGTAGTGCTTACGATAACCCACTTGTAATAGCCAATATCGTTTTCATCAAATAAAGGTTTAATACAAACTCAAATGATTGAATTGAGTCCAATAATACATTTATTTCTGGTCGTTGTTTTGAATTTGAACCATCCTCCGAAATCATTTCAAGCACATCAATCACTGTTGAAAACATACCAGCCAAGCTGATTAAAGTACCATAGTGTGAACCCCAACGTGTATCACCAACACGTTTAAGATTAGTTTCTTGGTTTAAGCCTTGCCCACTAGATAGCTCTCCAGTATTAAGTGCCTTAGCAACTTTTGCAGCTTGCTTCTCCCTAACAATATCTCGACGTTTGCATGATGCTCCAACAACATTCACCACATTAGAAACCAAAGTGAAAAGTAAAGCAATTTGATCATGATTCTTTGCACGGTTACAAGTGCCAATTGCAATTTATGAGCAAAACAATGAACATAATATGCACAAGAATTCTCTTTCAGTATAAGTGTTTTAAGACCATTGAACTCACCTTGCATGTTACTAGCCCCATCATATCCTTGACCCCGCAATTTGGAAATACTCAATCCAAGTCTGGAGGATAAATTTTTTGTAGCTTGTTTGAGTGAGAGAGCATTCGTATTAGCAACATGTTCAATACCCAAAAAGCGCTCAATCACTTGGCCTTTTTTGTCCACATATCGTATTACAACTGCCATTTGCTCCTTGATTGATATGTCACAGGCTTCATCAATCAAAATAGAAAAAAGGCATCACCAAGATCTCTAACAATCACATTATAGTTTCAAATGCGGCCACATTTGCAATATCTTTTTGAATATCAGGAGATGTCAACTTGAGATTTTGTGGAGCATTGCTCAATGCAACCACTTTGACATCTTCATTATGATCAGCAAGAAAATTGAGAAGTTCAAGAAAATTTCCTTAGTTACTTGAATTTTTAGATTCATCATGCCCACAAAACGCAAGTCCTTATCTTAAAAGAAATTTGACACAATCAACTGATGCATTCAAATAGGGTCAATACTCAATTCGAGCTTGATCAGATTGTTTGAAAAAAATCATTTGAATATGTTGATTTTGGTTTAACAAGTCTTGACATTTACTCGAAGCTTGATTATAAGCACTATTGGGACCTCCAACATGAATATGAATTTTTTCTTTTTTCTTCTAATTTGAGAAACCCTTACCAACAAAAGAATCACCACTAGCTTGATCTTCAATATCAGGTTTGAAAAGATAACAACATAAACAAAATGTTGCTTCTTTTGCTATGTTATACTCCAACCAATTAGGAAATTCACTAAACCAAGCCTGATTAAATCGCCGAAGTTTTTGTCCGAATTATTTTTGTGGAAAATTATGATCACGAGGTTAACAAGGACCTTTTTGTAGATATGCCCTACGAATTTGGTCTCGACCATTAGCATTGTAGACCATAATCCGTGGCCATAGTCCTGGATTTGCAGGAAAGTCTACAAAGTTTATTTCTATGCAACTTTGTTTTGCGGAAGAATAATTATAATCTTCTTCTTGAGGAAGAGATGATTCCAATTTTGATTCTCTTTTGAAGTATTTCTCCATGACTGTTTTAAAAAATAAAAATTCACAATCAAAATCACAAACCCCCACAAATCAAAATCTCCAATTTTAATACAAATCAAAAAATTTAAATTTAGCACAAATCACAACAAATAAAATTTCTAATATACCTATATTATAACAAATGAAAGTCCCTAATTTAAATAACAAATACTACAAATTAATATTTTTAATTGTAGCACAAATCAAATCTCTAATTTCAGCACAAACAACAATAAACCAAAATTCCTACTTTTAATATAATTCATCACCAATTAAGATTCATAATTTTAGCATATCAAAATCTCTTATTTTAACATAAATAATAACAAATCAAAAAATTTTACAAATTAAAACTTAACAAATAATTATAAATTGATACTCATAATTTTTATTTAAAAATAAAAAATCATAAATAAAGTTACCTGTAAAAAATGAAGAGAAGATACCAAGATTATAGTGTGATCCAAAATCTGTGTTGTGTGATTCTAATCTGGTGAATCATGAGTTGGTAAATTACAAAGCAACAAAGAGAGATAAAGAAAAAAAAAAAAAAAAAAAAAAAACCCTTTCTCCCATTTTTTTTTTTTTTTTTTTTTCATGATGAAAGCAATTGTTTCAAGTGAAAAATGATTTATATTTACGAAAATTATAAAAATTATATAATTAATTATTATAAATTATTATTATATATAAAAATTATATTATTTCAATGCTTGAGTGTTGTGGGTGTGGCCATTGGTGTGTGTGTGTCATTGTGTGGGTTGGCTTTGGTTGGTAGTAGAAACGCCATTTCAAATGGTAAAAAAAAAAAAAAAAAAAAAAAATTCAAAAGTCAGGGGGGACGTGACCCCCCTGGCCCCCATATCCCTCTACGCTTGAGTGCGAGTGCGAATGTGAGTTCAAAGGGAGCGAAGAGGGAAGGTTGCGAGTGCAAGTTTGAAGGGTTGCAAGAGAAGGAGGAGCAGTGTCAGTAGCGAAAAGGGAGAGTGGGTGTCGATGAAGAGGAGGTGTTTTTCGTTCTGTTGAAGAAGAAGAACAGAGAGAGAGAGAGAGGGAAGATGGGGAGACAGGTGTTTTTCGTTATGTTCAAGAAGAAGAACTGAGAGGGAGAGAGAGAGAGAGATAAAGAGGGAAGGTGGAGAGGAGACGTAGGTAGGTGAGAAGGCAAACAACGATACTTAGGAAGAGAAGTGTTTGGATGGGAATCATCTATTGATTTGAATCATTGATATAAATTTAGGATTCATCTCAACCATTAAAACAAAATGTATCTCTTAAGACATTTTGATAGATTTTCAAAAATTATTCTGTCTTATTATATAGATATTTAGAAATCAAAATCATCCAATACTAATTTAAAGGTGTTTTTTTAAATAAAAAAAAATTATTATGTGAGATAAAATAATATTATATGTTATACATAATGTAAAATTAATATTTATTCATTTGATAGTACATATAAAATAATACATACATATAATGATAATGTTAAATGTAAATATATAAAAAGTGTCAGATCCAAATATAAAACACATCCCACACCTTTATTTGAGTGTTGGACACAAATATTTGATTTATTTTGATGAATCCTACTTGTAACTAAATATGATTTTTCTCAAAGAAAGTGACAAAAATAAATGTTTGGTCTTTTGAAAAGAAGCTAAAAAAAGTTAATTTTTTTTAGCTTTTTAACTTTTTTATTTTAAAAAAAAAAAAAAAAAAAAAAAAAAAAAAAAAAAAAAAAAAAAAAACTTTAAAAAAGCCAAAAAAAAAACTAACTTTTTTAATTAAAAAAAGTTAAAAAATCAACTTTTTAGTAACTTCTCAAAACACCACATTGTGACATCAAATGATATATCTGCTTTTGAACATAAACAGAGGGGCTGAAATGGGTGACTGACAGCATCCCAAAAGGGGAAAATATATATTTAAATAAATAAATAAATATAAATAAAAACTGTAGATAGATAGCCTATTGAATTCAACAAGTCCACGCTGATCTAAAATTTGATGACAATAGCAGAAGAAAAATGAAACTATGCAGAACATTAATCATCCAACTTTCTCCAAATAATTAAAAAGGCAATACAGCCTTTTTTAATATCCATGACTAATTATCCATGGTGAAAATCAATAATATCACTGCTTCAAATTCAATAGGAAACTTTCAGAAATGATGAATGCCTTCTACAATCCGAAATCTGCAACTGAATCACCGCGAAAATCAGGATTTGTCTCCGCAAACGCCAATCGAAATCTTTCCGTAATACAAATGAATCACTTCCAACAATGGTGATGATGATCAAGAAATGCCTGTACAAAGAACTGGCAAAACAATCAGCAGTAATTTGTCTCAATTTAAGATAAATACTTAAAGTTAACGAGCAATCCTGTCTTTGCAGATTGCCCCCTGGTCGGTAGTCAATGCCACAGTTTACTACAGAAGCCATTTCGTGGCCTCTTGCTAGATATGATATCGGAAAATGAGTCAACCAATTGTGCCGCTAAGCTACTTGGATCGTCAATCATCGTTTGAATGAAGGTGTTGACAACCCTTCGTTCCTGTTCTGTCGATCTCAAGCTAAACCACGTCAACAATTTGAGCCTGAATTCCAGTTTGATGTGACCTTCGCATTCAAGCCACCGAATGATCTTCACACAGTATTCGAAATTCTCATCCAAGCACCCTGACTCATTGCCAATTCTGAATGGTGATCCGTTTATTAGAGTGCTGTCACAGTCGTGTGTCTCTTCGTTTGTGCTCGCTGCCCTTTTCCTGCACAGTTTCCCCTCGGAGTCAACATCTGGCACTTCCCCATTGGCCCTGTGGGTCCAATTCTGGGAGTCGCCGCTACCATGAGATCGATTCTTCTCGATATCATGAGAAACAGCATCGTCATTATCTTCATCCCGAGAGGATTCAAAAGGAGGGGTTAGCTCTTCGTTTAGATCGGGCACGGAAGCAACGTTTAAGTCGAGCCCACGTGAAACAGGCGGCAATTGATCTTTGGGAGTTTCAAGAGGCTTAGCTGGATTGTTGACTTGACAACATTCTTCTATATCTATGCCAGAAAAGCCCTCGAAACAGCCTTGTTCTTGAGCCCACGCCAGTCGTAGGATCTTCCCAAGGTCTCGGACCTTGAACCCAGATGAAGATTCGACGGCTGTTGTCGTCTTAGGCTCCCTCTGGGCATTGGAACTTCCTTCGATCTGCAGATTCTCGTTCTTGCAGTTCATGGGAGCTGAGTTGGGATCTTTGTGAATTATCTCCACACTCTTGGTAAAACACTTTGCCTCGGAATGTCCCAAATCACCAGCTTCTGTGTAAGAAATTATCCGAAAGGAATACTCTGTGCAGGGTTGCAGATTGGATATCAAAATCCTTCTTTGAGCTCTGGGAAAAACACAAATGGGCTCTTTTGGATGTGTCTCATCTCTACTCTTACAATACCAGAGCTTGTATCCCTTAATATCGTCATTTGATGCCGGCTGCAGTTCTATCAAAACAATTACAACTGAAGAAGACGTCACTTCTTCGAAGTGGAATCTGCAAGCAGCAGGAAGAGAGCCCTCTGCAAAGGGGAAAAAGAGAGAAAAAAGTACCGAGTCATTCAAGTGAACATATAAAGCATATTAGCGGTGGGTGTAGACACGACACATTTACAATTTTACATTTAAATTTTTGGATAGTTTGATGATTGAGAAAAACTGATAAGCAGTTTTGAGTGGTTTGCTGAATGAGAAAAAGCATTCAATAGTTATTTGGATTTGACAGTTACTGGATAGGAAGGGCATTCTTAGAAAGGGAAAAAAACATGACAGCGTTCACACCAACTCAAGTGTACACTTTATATAATAGAATAGATATATATATATATAGTTAATTTTACCAAACAAAATTGTAAGGAAAGATGGAAAAGTTGTCGAGGGTAGTCACCTCTGTGATTTGGATTTGTGTTGGAAACAGTGGCCAGCCATTCATCTGCTTTCTCGATTGCAAGACAGCAGAGTTTCTGGATTTCACCAGCAATAGAAAGTCTGCTGACAATGCCCCGTGCCATCTTGGCTGAGACTCCATTCACTGGACCCACCTCCGTTTCTAATCTGGCCTTGGCATCTCTAACAATGTCATGCAGTTCTTGAAACCTGGAAGTCCCATCGAGGAGTCTGTAACTCAAGAATATCCTATAACAGAGGGCATCAACACGTCGAGCATCCTTAGCTATACTCAGTTGCTTCTTCCAACATCTGTCAGCATGAATAATTTAGCATAGTTACACCAGTCAGGCTCAAAGCCTACTAAAGGGAAATCAAAATTGCTTGCAGTTCACTGCTGTCTGCTTCTATCTTATTATTTCCGGGTACAGTCCAAGAGAAACTGTACTTATTTTCCAACCATTTTGATTCATAAAGACAGTAGATGCTGTCTTAAAAATCATTTTCCAGCAAACAAAAACACTAGAATATTATTACTTTTAAGTGATGGCAAGTTCTTTTGACATTAAACAGAACCAGTGGAACAAAATTCATAGGGCAAATTTCACTTTACCCTTGTGGTTTGGCCCAAGTGCACCAAGGTGCACCGTTAGGCCCATTAATGACTTAAGCGAAGAGATTAAAATACCCTTGTACATGAATAACCTCATTGTGCAAACTACCGACATTTTCGTAATTTTTTTTGGCAGGCAAAATTCACTTTTAACCCCTTGTGCTTTACTGACACTTGGAAATGAGCAAATAACCGCTTATGTCTTAGCATGTGTTTCACACTTGCTATTAACGTGGATAGAATGCCCAACCAAGCACTTCAATCAACAAATCACAAGGGGATTATGTGGTTATTTCCAAATGATGAGGGGTAATCCTCAGATGGACCAAACTACAAAGGGATAAAACAAAATTTACCCAAATTTATATAATATAGAAATGACGGAAGCAATAACATTTTTTTCAAAGAAATTGGAAAAGAGTAAGCTGAAACATTACATTGATTTGAGCTGGCCAATACTGAGTTAACAAACTGAAGCAGGTATCCTTTTGATGTTTTTTTTTTCTTTACTCTCTCTCCCCCCCCCCCCCCCCCCCCCTCCCCTCAAAAAATGAATAAATAAATAAAAATTCTTCACTTTTTCATTTTTGTAGAGAAGGGTGGAGGGTTCTCTTGTCATACTATGCATTATACTAGAAGTGTAAGCATACTAACTTGGACAGGAAATTGCGGGTGGGTGTACAGAGAGTCACGTGTGGATAGCAGTTTTTGTTTTTTTTTTTTGGTCTTTTTTGGTCCTTTTAGTGACTGCTAGGCAACATAGATATTAGGAGAAAATATAGTATTGTCATAAGTTTTTTTGGGAATCAAAGTTGTGTGATAGAATTGTTCATACCAAGTAAGTTGTGTACTTTAAATATTATAGATTTCGTAAGTCATAAAATGGAAACAAACAACTTACCCAAGTATCCCTGAAACTTTACCGCAAGATGCACAGCAATAACTACCATCGAGCTGCATCAATTGCCCAAGATCAACAACCCCCACCTTTTCACGTTGGAGTGCACACTCAATATGACACGATAAACCACAGGAGTCTCCATTACCAGATTCAGATGTGCATACCAACCAAAGACTGGGATCCTTATTGTCATCAAATAAGTGACAGATGCAACAAGAGCATCTCTTGCAGAATGTGTCTTCTACAGACAGAACGGCTCTACATGCAGCATTTTTACAGATCCATGAATTTGAATATACAAAATCCGGAGACTGCTCTGTAGCAGGTGGTATTCGAACAGGGTTTTCCCCTTTTCTCTGACTTTTCCTAGGAGGCTGATCCTTCGGACTTGAAGACACTTTTCTTGGCTCATGATTTTTCAAAATTTTCTTACTCGTCTTTGGAGGTTGTTCTGTCATTTTGCATTTAGATGATGCCGTGAATTTCTGTTCCTTATCAAAGCAAGTTTGGAAAAGGTATTTCAGACTCTCTTGGAGAAGTTTTGGACTTCTTGAAGCATTATCTGAGTGTCAATTTTTCTCAGGGGTGCTTCGCACACTGGGAGACAGACTTTAAATGCTAGAACTGATAGCAAAAGCATACCAACAGAAAAGTGAGAAAATATAGAGCGTGACAGATAAACAAACACGAAATGAAAGTAAAGAAATCAAATTTATAAAATTTGGCATCACAGGAATAAATTGATATTATGAAAACAAAAATGAAAGCTTGTCCAACTTCGGAAGTAAACTTTGCATGTCCAAAATGCATGCAACATCATGTCTCTTCTTCACAACTCAACATTAACACCCTCGATTATCACCAAGTGACCTCTTCTGAGGTGCTGACATCTTTAAAATGTCAGTCATTCAGCCATTAGATATCCTATATGGTTACTAGGTATCTAGTGGTTGTCAGATTGGAAACTTAATCCATCATCCTCCGAGCTCACCTAAATTTTCATTATCCCCCCAAAAACAGCTATCTTATGAGCATGTCATCTCTTGTTCACCAACATCCTGCTCCATCTGATCTAGATTGTCTTACACTTGTAATAATTTCCACCTAGTTTTATGGGAATCCTTTTGTGATGTGAAACCCTTGGAAGACTAGCGCTAGTTTTATTCATTCAAAACTTACATACAATCTCTCTTTTGGGGACATTTGAGAATTATATCAAGGTAAGTTCAACTGTGAAAATCTATAAGTCAGGATAGCTGGAATGGAAAGAATGAGAAAAGACAAGACAAGGAACCAAGTGGAACCAAATACAGACAAACACCCACCTGTATAGAGAGAGAGAGAGAGAGATTAATGGATACACCCATGGGTAAGATCCAGTACAAATGATCAACCATCTTACTAGTCCATTTGAAGATTCATAGTTCAATTACACTATGCTCACACAAATAGTTTATCAAACATTCGCCTGCTTGATAAAAAAGGGTAGGAGGAGGTGGAGACTAGTGTGTGGGAATCCTCCCCAGGCATGACCATATGAGCCCTTACCTGTTGGGGACCCAAACCTAATAGGAGAGGCCTAGATAGGCCTGCAAATGTGGGGATCCACAAACGGTCCCTCAGGATGAGCTGAGCCATAGCCTAACCCCTAGCCCCACTACGGGTGTTGTAGAAAGGAGTCAATGGTCCAGGATTAATAGGCATGAGCCACGCATCCCCCTAGATACTGCCGGTGAGACTCAAGCCCATGATCTCCTGTCCACTAAACCATTTTAGAGTTCAAAGTAAGCCCCTCACCACCCTTCCAGGCTCCCATTGAAATGAGTGATTGGAACACCTCCATTATATCATGACACCGAACCCACTAATAATCCAAAATTACTTTCTATAATCAATAAGAGATAATTTCATTGTCAACCAGAACTGGTTCACAATGCGATTGTCCAGCCTACTAGCCAGAATGCAGGCCATGGGCACCCTAAATTGCAAATAAAAACCGTACCAAATAAAATCCATCAGTAGTTCATTGTTATACGAGGAGGCTTAGTGAAGATAAAATTGGGGGTTTATTTGGTATGGTTTATATACATTCTTAAAAAAAATAAGACATGTTTGGATGAGCGTTGGACACGTGTTGAGAAGTATCCGATGAGTGTTGGTGTCCAACACGAACATGACACAGACACGCCACCTTTTTAGAAATGTCCATGCTATGCTATTTTATTAAATAGAGAAAAAGAAAAATAATAGCTTAATATTCTACTACGCAATATTTGAATGTCTATTTTCCTAGTTTGTTTTTCGTAGTCCATTTTAATTTAATATGACTTGTTTTTATCCATTTGGACTACATAAACAAACATAAAATTTATAATAAAATATCTCATACAATACAAAACAATGCTTACAAACTAGATCGGATAGGATCTAAATGGACCAGGATTCCACGATCCTTTACGATCCAACAATTAGGATCGAAATACTTACAAGGGATTTTTACATGATCCAGAATCCAGATCAATTTTGCCCAAATGGATTGTAAGATTGTAGGATCGTTAGATCCAGATCAGAATTTAAGGGTTTTGATAACCCTTGACACAAAACACACATCATCCAATTACAGCAATAATTTTGCAACATTGAACCAATCAAGAACTATACCAAAATATATATATATACATAAATATCACCTAAATTGATAACATAACAGAAGAAATGTGATCTTATTGGGAGGCAAAGATTGATTGGATTCCCATATAAAGAAGAGATTTCCCAAAGAGAGAGAGAGAGATCATATCTTCTTACCATAAAAAAAGGTGGTTTACACAAACCATATTATGCGAACAACTTCTGCAACAAAACATAAACAAATGGACCGAAATGAAAAGGAAAGGTTAAAAATATAAATTTTGACAAGGAATGTCAAATTGATAACACAAACTTACTCCTAATGAAATTAACAAAAAAAAGGATAGAGGATTAACTGAGTGGACTACTGACTGATGAGGAGTATCTGAGGACAATGAAGTCGGCGTGCTAGGGTTTGGAAAGAACCCTATAGAACCTCTTTCTCTATCTTGTATGACCTTTATACTTCAGAACACTAGGTATCAAAAGGGTAAGAAAATTACACTTCTGCCCAGTAAAAAGTTACTCACACAGTAAGAATGATTGGCTAAAGTTATTAATGGATTGGATCACCCCATACCCGAATTGTTGATGGGTCAGCTAGAACTAGAATCTTGACAAGTCTCCAGCGTGAAACCCACTGAAAAAAGCTGGCAGTTGTATCAGATTTGATCAAAATCCAATCCATAAACATGCCTTTTACAAGGACAAAACGACTTCAATCCCTTTAAGGCACCAACTGCCACCTACTAAGAAGCACAGACACTTCTAAAAAGGTGGTGTGTCCGTGTTGTGTCCGTGTCGGACACCGACACTTGTCTGACACCTCTAGATATGTATCTGACACTCATCCAAACGTGCCTTATTTAAAAAATAAATAAAAATTAGATTCAGACACTTTGAGGATACATGTATCCATTGCTTAAATCCATTGATTAGACACACATATAAATTTGAACAAAATAATTTAGAATATAATGATAAAAGAAAAACAACGTCAATTTATAGAAATTAGTGTTATATTACGTTTATTTATTGTCTTGGAATGATTTATTCATATATATGACATAATAAATATATAAAATTATATATTACGTGTCGTGTCGTGCCGTGCCGTGCATTTTTTAAAAATTTTCATGTTGGCGTGTCCGTGTCGCATCCATATCATGTCCGTGCTTCTTAGGCCATCCATGCCTTCAATTTTCCCAAATCTAAGAAGATTTTGTAAAATGGTGGAAGAACCATTGATATGTTTGAAGAATGTCATAGAAGAGACAAGATTGAACAATTTTTCATCTACGCTTAGTAAGGAAGCCTTTTTGTTTGTACAGCTAACATGAACAATCATGAGCAAATATTAATAATTTTTATTATTAATTTTTTTTTTTTGGTTTTGGGGGTAGGGGAAGGGGAAAAGCATTGCAAAATTTGTTTCAATGGAAAAGCATTGCAAAATTTCTTATTGAAACACAATACTATAAAAAAAAAAAATGCATGTAATTTGTTTACATGATTCGTTAAATTTTGTAAAGGTTCTTCAAAGTCATTATAGTAGCCATAGTTGCAGATATATCCAGGAAACTCAGTAGAAAACTTAAACGCCACTCTAATGATATAAAATGGCAGTAGACAATAGGAGAAAAATTCGACACCACACCCATGACTGGTTTCACATGAGTCTAAAAAAGGATTTGAAATCATTATCCCTAAAGATTTGATTATATTGCTCATAGAAAAAAAAAAAAATGCATGTAATTTGTTTACATGATTCGTTAAATTTTGCAAAGGTTCTTCAAAGTCATTATAGTAGCCATAGTTGCAGATATATCCAGGAAACTCAGTAGAAAACTTAAAACGCCACTCTAATGATATAAAATGGCAGTAGACAATAGGAGAAAAATTCGACACCACACCCATGACTGGTTTCACATGAGTCTAAAAAAGGATTTGAAATCATTATCCCTAAAGATTTGATTATATTGCTCATAGACATCATTAACACCTTCTCTATAACTTTCCATGTCGGTTCCACACGTTTTATGCTGCAATGTTGTCTATATAGATATAATTATTCAACAATTTTAGAATTTTCATTTAACTCCAAAATACATTTCATGAATCCTGTCTTTAAGAGCAACGTCTTTCTCATCTTTGCTTTATGTCTCTACGACTCATGGCAGTTGTCATATATTGGCTAAAGTCTCTCTAACGAATTCTCATTAATAAAACCAATATCTAATGAGTATTTCTTTGGTATTCATTAGATTGAGTATCCAATATGTAGGTTTTATTAATGAAATACCTCTTCCTAGCACATAATTTATTCATTAATAAAACCTTAATCTTACATGGTAATGTGATGAATTCTCACGCAAGAGGTATTAACTACGCATTTCAGTGCTTCATTAAGACCTACATCACTTTATAGACTACCAAATTAAGTACTTTTCACTATCGTAATGCAAGCAAATTATGCAGTAGAGAAGCAGCATGAAAACAGAGATAAGCACTACAAAATGTTTTTTGTTTTTCCAAGACACCCTCCCTGTGAGAAGCAATTAGCATGGAAACCTCAGTGTAATCATGCATTCAACTCAATTGGAGCCAGCATTTGCAGTGAAAGAAGTATTACAGTGGTCCATTGTTTTGTGGAAGAGAAATTTCATGCTGGTTCAATAATTTGAATACAAAGACTACAGTACATATGAAAATATAGAATATTCATGCAATGGACATGTCAAGGGAACATGTTTTCTACAAACTACAACTAAAAAGTTTAATGAAACTGAGTTCTGGATTCTGGACTACCTTCAATTAAAGAAAGACTGATAAGCTAAGCAACTAAAATTTAACACAAATAGAAGCAAGGTGTTCAAAAATCCAATTTTGTATAATGATTATGCACTTTAAATTTAATACCATTACACATTGTCAAAAAGTAGAAACACTGTAAGAAAAGAAAAACAAGTCTTGGCAGAGAAAATAACTTATGAAATGATTATATTCTTCAAAGAAGATGGGAATAACATGTAACCTAAAATGTGAAATTAATGACGATATCTAATTCAGCATCACATTGGAAATTTTCAGATTAATACTTTGACCTAAAAGAATGACATCATTGAAATATTCAGTTCATAAAACACAGAAAAAATTCTTTCCAACACAAAATAATTCACTCAATTTTAACCTTGAATTTTTTATTTCATCTCAATTTGGCCTAATCGATAACACTAGTTATATAAATAATGAGAGAGATATTGAAGGAGGAGGAGAAAAGCAACGAGAGCTGGGTGAAACCAAGAACGCCGTGGCAAGACTAGGGTATAGGGAGTGATGCAAGGGGCTGAGGAAGGGAGGCATCATGGGGCTGGGGGAAGAAGAGGGATGGGGCAACAAGGGGTCTAGGGGTGGAGATAGAGATGGAGATGTCGAGGGGATAAGGAAAGGGAGGAGTGATGGTGGGGTGGGGTGGCGAGCGGAGGGTGAAGAGGTGTTTGGTGGTGTGTGATGTGGCTGGTAGAGGCAGTGTATGGTGGTTGGGGTGGAGGTTGAGGTATGGTAAATAGAGGAAATGGTGGTGGTGGTGGTGGTGGTGGTGTGGGGTGGCAAGTGGAAGAGGTGCATGATGGTGGGTGGCTGATGCATGTTGCAGAGTATGGGGAAGGAGGTGGAAGGGAGAGAGGAGTGAAATGTCCGTATTCCTCTTGGAAAATGGTCACACAAAACACACATAACCATTTTCTATAAAAATAAATAAATAAAAAATAAAACCTCTAACAGGTGTTATCGATTTCGATTGGAACAAATTGAGACGAAATCAAAAATTCATGGTCAAACTCAAGTGAATTGAAATTTAATGGACCAAATTGACACAAGGAGATGAAGTGCAGAGACTGCTGGTTTAATCTTCCCAACAAAAAGGTACAACCTATAAGTTGAGGCATGCACTAAAATGGATTCAGCATAAGGATGGCATAGCATTGAAACAAGAATGTATCCCGATAAATAAGTAATAAACACTCGAGGAACAGATTATAAACACTCCAAGTCCAGGATCCAACAACCAAATGCTTCAAAAGAAAAAATAAATAGACAAAGAAACTTGAATGGTTATATGAATAGCAAAAAGGTAGAAAAGAAGAAAGAGATTTTGATTTTCTTTACATACTTTTTTGGACAATCATCTCTAAATAGGCCCAACCAAAATCCTCACAAAATCTTACTAACTAATGTTCCTCGTAGTTGTAAAGAACAACTCACATCAAAGTTAAGCATATGAGGAATTACAATACTAGAAGTCTAGAACAAACAAATCATAGTCACACAATGCCTCACTTCACTTAGTGTGCTGCTTGTTCATGTTTGTTAGCGCAACATGTTCTAAGCCTTCCTCCATGCATGAATCCATATGTTGATTGGTCCTCATTCGCAAAGTCCTCGAAGGGCTCTAATATGTACAATTGCCTCTAGTTCGGGAGCGTCTATTTCCACTCACCCTTCTCCCTCAATTCACACACTTACTCGATTTTTTATTCCAAATTTATCTTAAAATCAAACTAAATCTAACTCGACACCACTCTATTAACATGAACCTAAGAGACAAAATACGAAAAAATTAATAGAGTGGTGTCGACTTATTGTAGCAATCTAAATCTAACTCGACACCACTCTATTAACATGAACTTGAGTTGAGAGATAATATACAAAAAAATTAAATATAATTATCATATTTTTTATAAATAATATATTATTTTATCCTGTGCATAGCACGGGTCACGTGCTAGGGTTTCGAGGTGGTGGTGGGTAGAGGCTAGGTTAGGGTTAGGATTAGGATTAGGATGAAGAAGGTGGGGGTATTTTTAACATGATGGATTGTGTATGGATCAAAATATCAAGTTTCAAAATCACTTAGTGTGTGCATTGAGAGATGATGTGTATTAAGAGTTTTTGGTATGTGGAAATATAAGCTCCCCTCTAGTTCCTATCCAATGTGGAGCAAAAGAACATGAATAATTTAGCCTTCGTTTGGCATATTGGCTTTTTAGGCTTTTTTGTTAAAATAGCCACAAAAGGACAAAATAAGCTAAAAGTCAATAAGATAAAATGTCACATCCAAACCATAATCATTTCATTTTTTCTCTCACAAAAGTCAAAAAAGCAAAAAAGCCTATCCTAAACGAGGATTTTTAGCCCTAGGCTAAAATAGCAAAAAAAACCAAAATGCTAGAAAACCAACCCACATCCCAAACGAACCCCTAACATCCAAATGAAGGAAGATAAACCAATTAATTTTAATTAATATGGAATTTTAAAAGATCAAAATTTTGAATTAATAAAAAAAAATTACCATCGCCCTCACCCTTTCTCACCTCCAAAAAAAAAATAAAAAAAATACTTGTACAACATATTCATGAAGTTGTAATTCAGTCAATGAATCATAGAGGCTTACAAGTACCTCAAAACATACAAGAGAAAGACCAAAACAGGGAAGAACACGAGAATTTTCTTTCACTCTTCTCAAAATTTCAAAAAAATAAATAAAATCACCTTCACCTATTTCCAAAACACAATTCATCCCAATCTCAATGCAAACAAACATTCACTTCCCAAAATACATACTTTCTCTAAACATAACAAACATCTAAAAAATGGAAACAAACACAAAAGATGTGCATTTAGCATTTTCAACACTCATTCCCATATTACTCTACATACATTGATCAAATTCAATCTATAAAGCTTTCCAGACTCACCACAATCATCACAACCAACAAAAATAACAATATAGCCATTCAATTTGGGGCAACTCATATACCATAGATGTACATCAAAATTCACAAACAACAAATTGTCAAAAATAGTCAACGGTATCAACAGGTAATACATTACACACAAACAACTACGGATCTGAGCACCTAAATAATCAATAGCAAACATATATATCCTCATACATATACATATATATACACAAACATGTAGATACAAAAAAATTAATAATAATAATAATAACAAAAAGGAATCTGAGAATAGTACCTGTGAAGAATGTGTGGAGAGAGAAAGAGAGAGAGAGAGGTAGAGAGAGAAGGAGGAGAAGAAGAATAATCTAGGGTTTTGATGGAGGGAACGAAGAAGAAGGGTTTGGAGGGTAATGAATCTCTCTGAAAGAAACTTCGTTGTTAGTTGGTTGGGAATTTGCTCTCTCTCTCTCTCTCTCTCTCTCTTCTCTTCTCTTTCTCTTTCTCTTTCTCTCTCGGAGTTGCGTTCACGCACGCTTTTTAGCTGAATGATTATAAAAAAGAAATGCAGAGTCACGCGCGATTTTAAGCACGTGGGTGTAACCGTTTCGGTTAAAAAGAGAGAGTAGTTGATGCTGGGCACCAAGTACAGAAACCACTTTATCGGATTCTGATTGGTCCGTGTTCTACACTCCCTTTATGGGGATGTGACATTATAGTTTCTATGTATGGTCTGTTTGCTTCAGTATTTAATTTTTTAAACAACTTTATTAATTAAGTAAATAATTGTTTAAAAAAAGAGTGTTGCTATTAACACTTATCAAAATTTTTTGAACTCTCTATTTTATATTTTTTTTTAATTACAATTATTTATATTCTAAAGTTAAATCCTGAATGTGTCATCTTCATCACCATCATTAACGCCAACTATACGTATTCCATGTTTGTAAAACATAAACCTATTACTTTTCATAACCAACTAGCATAAATCATAAATTTATTATTTTTCATAATCATCTTAAATCCTGAATGTGTCATCTTCATCACCATCATTAACGCCAACTATACGTATTCCATGTTTGTAAAACATAAACCTATTACTTTTCATAACCAACTAGCATAAATCATAAATTTATTATTTTTCATAATCATCTTAAATCCTGAATGTGTCATCTTCATCACCATCATTAACGCTATTGAACTTGAAAGTTTTGCTTCAAACATAACGTATACTCCATCACTTATTTCACTATGTAGAGCAATGGAGGACGAGGACAACATTCTCGGTCATTTATCTATCTTGTATTAACATTCTCAGTCGTTTGTTTCGTTCGAGTTGTTCGGTATTGGTTTACTGACTGTTAGAATTATGTTCGGTAATACAGTACTGAACATAATCCTTTCGTTCAATATATAGGTTCCGAATATTAATGCAGATAGTCAGTTATGTAATTTTCTTTGTTAAACCAACTTAGAATGGAAAATAGTGAATTTGAATGGATTTAAGTTATGTAATTTGAATGGATTTAATTCATGTTATTTTAAGTTGTGAATTGAAATAGATTCAAGTTACACAGTGATGAACAAATTTTGTTCGGACATATAGTGCTGACAGGATCATTATTGTTCGACAAAACAATTATGAACAAAATACATTTTTTCGGCTACACAGTGGTGAACAAATTGTTTTGGGCTACATTCAGAATTCTGATGGCAATTCAGACGATGATTCTGTTTTTTCTCATCTTACAAACAGTTATGCAAATCCCGTAGAAATTAGAGTATCTTTGATCGATCTCAACGATGATGAAGATATAAAAAGTAACAAAGAAGATGATGATGAGAGGATGAGAGAGGTTACTGATTCGGTGATACGGAGAGAGTTTAGAGAAGACGAGAGTCGTCGGAATGCTCCGTTGACGGCTGAGACAGCGACGAAAGTGATGAAGGATTGGGGTCTAAGAATTCTATACTGGACCAAAGCTCCAAACTCTGAAGATTTAGAGTTAGGGAATGAGAGGGATGAAAAATTAGGTGGGTGTGAATTTCATTGTGAAAATATTATGAATATGGATAGATTTGGTAATAAGTGGGGTGTCCAAAAAAATATTATTAAAATTTCGCGTTTAGGGTTGGGGTCCAAACAAATGGGGGGTCCAAAGAATTTTGGTAGGTGCTAATAGCAGCACTCTAAAAAAAGGTTATTTGGGTGTGTCCTAAATAAGTGCACTTTTTGTCCTTTTGGACTAAAAAGTTGAGGGAAAAAATATGGATGTTTGGATTAACTTTTTTTTTGACTTTTTATGGAAAAATGTGTATTAAAAAATTATATAAATTAGTGCGTAGGGAAAAATTAGGATTGAGAGTTGTGCAGCCGTACTTTTTAACTTTTTGTGAATAATGATAACATTTTAATTTTTTAACTTTTTGGCTTTTTTTTCAACTTGCCAAACTTGACCTAATTGTAGTTTTTGGAAGAGAGTAATGTATGAGATTATGGGCCAATTTGAGAATTGAGTAAAAAGTTAATTTTTAACTTTTAATTTATTTAACTCTATTTTGTAGCTCGAAATGTTGTGGGTTGAAAGGCTCGAATTTCTTTGTACACCCACCCTTTTCTTTGTACACAGGTCATCCCTTACAATACAAAACCAACATCATTTCTTTGTAATTTTTTTTTTCCCCTCTTTCCTCTTTAAAGATGAAGAACACAGAGAGAGAGAGAGAGAGAGAGAAGAGAAAGCTGGGTGTTTATCTTCATCAAGATGGGTGTTCATCTTCATCAACAAAAACATCTTCATGAACATTATCATCATCATCATCATCATCAACAACAACATTTTCATCAACATCTTCATCAACAACATTATTATTACTCGTATTCCTATTATCAAACAGAACTAACAAGATTGAATCAAACAATCCAAGAAGATCCAGTGACACATATAATAAACAAACATAAAATTGAAAATACAAAAATCTAAATTAAAAGCTGAAAACCCACATTAAAAACTGAAGATCTAGCCGTCTTTCTTCATCAACATCATCATCGCAACATCTTCATCAACATCGTCATCATCAACATCCATCGATTTTGTGAAATCCATATCCATCGATATTGATTTTGATGAAATCGATTGATTTCAAATCCTGAAGAAGTTCCTTTGGTCTCTCTTTCTTTCTTCTCTTCCTCTCTCTTTCTCTTCCTCTGTTTTCAGAGATCTAACAGGGAAAAAAAAAAAAAACTGCCCAAAACGACGTCGTTTTGGGCTGTCAAACCATTCGAGCCAACAGTTTCTCGAGCTATAAATCATTTTTGTAATTTATTTTAAGTCATATCACTTCTTATATTTTTTACACACATAAAAAGATAAAAAGGTTAAAAAAAATCAAAAAATTAATTTTAAACCAAATTTCCAAATCATTCCATGCCTGGAGTTGGAGAAGTTATTCGTTGTCTTAAAATTCAGTCATACGGTATCCCAGGCGTGTTATGATTAGAGGAGGAGAAATTTATGATTTTATGTTAGGTGATTGAAAAATATTACAAAATATGAAAATTTGTGATTAATTAAAAATATAATCACGTGGTACCCTTGAAACATCTGATAATTTTTCCTGAAGTTAAAGTCATGGGGGTGTGTTGGTGTGGATTATAGGGGTGATTATAGCTTATTTTAATTTGAAAATCTGTGTCAAATTGTTTGGTGCAGTTTCTGCTTACGGCTTCTTAAGTAAAAATAACTTAAATAAACTGAGAAAAGATGATTATTTAGAAGTTGAGGAATGAGTGCTTTTGATTTCTGCTTTCTGATTATCAATTTTTAACTTATAATAAGCTGTACTAAACAACACTAATATGTACCGATTGTTCTTGAAGTTTACACCCGTTATTATATTCTATGTTTATAGAAGAAATAAGACATAATAAATAAATATGAGATAAAAAAATATTTTATATTTGTAATTGTAAACATTTGTCTTATATTTGTGCATTTGCTTAGGTGTCGTTTGGTAACACTTAGGGTCTGTTTGGTAACTATTCCGTTTTCAGTTTTCAGTTTATATTTACAAAAATTTTAAAAACTGTCATAAAAACTTGTTTGATAATTTTTTTAATTATAAATGGTTGTCTCAGTTTATAAATTTGAGAAAAAAATGTAAACTCAAAAAATGAGTTTACGTTTTCAATTTTCAATTTTTTTTTTCAATTAATTTTTTTCCAATTAATTTTTTTTCCAAATAATTTTTTTCAATTAATTTTTTTTTTCAATTAATTTTTTTTCCCAATTATTTTTTTTCAATTAATTTTTTTTTCAAATAATTTTTTTCCCCCATTTAAATTTGATTTCAATTAAAAACTCAAAAAATGAGTTTACGTTTTCAATTTTCAATTTTTTTTTTCAATTAATTTTTTTCCAATTAATTTTTTTTCCAAATAATTTTTTTCAATTAATTTTTTTTTCAAATAATTTTTTTTTTCAAATAATTTTTTTTCCCAATTATTTTTTTCATATAATTTTTTTCCAATTAATTTTTTTTCCCAATTAAATTTTTTTCAATTCTTTTTTTAATTAATTTTTTTTTCAAAATTTTTTTAATTAATTTTTTTTTCAATTATAATGTGTGTGATCCCATTATCATAAATAATAAAAATAAATATAAATATTTTAGGCCTAAACAAACATATTTTTTAGTTTATGTTTTTAAAATTTTTTAAACATTTTGTTCAAACCAAGCGCGTTTATAATTTATGTTTTTCTAAAAATAAACAAAATTCAGTTTATAAAATTTTTGTAAACATAAACAAAAAACGTAAACGTTACCAAATGCTACCTTACGTTTTCAGTTTTCTGTTTATATTTACAAAAATTTAAAAACCTCAAATAAAAATTTGTTTGATAAAATTTTTGATTTATAAATCAGTTGTCTCAGTTTATAAATTGGGCCAAAAAATGAAAACACAAAAAATGTGTTTCCATTTTGAGTTTTGAGTTTTTTTTTTTTACTACCCAACACTAGTCACCACCCGCCACCGTTTTCCACCACCGTCTTCTGCCACCACCACCTACCCCCCACCACCACCTGCCACCACCCACCTGCTACCCACTCGCCGCCACCACCACCACCACCACCACCCACTACCATTGACCAACCGCCATACCATCCCCTGCCACCTACTTTGCCACACACCACTCACCCACTCACCTGCCACCACCATCACCACCAGCCACCCACCACCCACCACCCTACACCCATCACCACCACCACTACCATCACCCACCACCACCAATCCGGCCCACCACCACCCACTTCGCCTACCACCTACTACCTACCACCCACCACCGTCACCCACCTTAACCCCACCCCAAAAACCAACCCAACCACCACCGTCCACCCGCCACCTACTCGCCACCACCACCCCACCCGCCACCCGCAACCACCACCACCCTTACCATCATCGCCGCCACACCACACCACCACCACGTCGGCTACCACTCACCACCCTAAGCCACCGTCTTTCCCC